CACACACACACACACACACACACACATACACACACACACACACACACACACACACAAATCAGACTCATGCACGCGCTCACATAGACACACACACACAGTCATACACACGGCATAATCATTCTCGTACAAACACAATGACTCACACTCGTACACATACGGATATATACGTATTAAAGTTTTAAAAATGTGTGTTTATACGAAAACTTGAGCTTTATCTGTGTTTATTTTGTTTGTTTGTTTTATGCGGGGGTTTTTGTTGTTGTTGTTTTGTTTTTTTTTGTTTCCTTTTTTTAAAACTGATAATTTGTTTTTACTTGAAATGTACGTTTAATTAAAGAGTTATATTTTGTGGGTGTTGTTTTTTTTTTACCTGTCGTTCCATCAGTCACTGGGTGTTTAACTAACGGGGTGTTCTGATGTGGTATGCTCCTGCTTTCCTGTCAAAGACCTGTCGTCCGTATCTCTTCTCTGTTTATGTTTTTGTTTGTTTTTCGGGTTTGTTTGTTTGTTGTTGTTTTTTTGTTGTTGTTTTTTTAGTGTTTGTCACTCTTTTGCAGCACGTCTACTACTATTCGACTGTTAAATGACGCAATGGTGTGTGGGTGGTTGGCGGGTGCTCTAGTGTGGTTTGCTTCTTCCTTCCTATCAAATATCTATGGTCCTTACCTCCCCTCCTTCTAGTTGGTGTTTGTTAGTTACTCTCTTGGGACTCCTCTAATCTTCGGCGCTTGTATGACTTTATTGTGTTGCAAATGCTGTAAAACTCCTACTAAAAACTAAACTTTGTTTCTTTTTAGTTTTGTTACTCTTTTGCAACACGTCTACTATTCGACAGTTAATTAAATAACCCAAGGGTGTTGCAAATGTGGTTAAACATGTATTACTCTGCCGGTCCCTAACAAAACGCCTTTTTCTTATTCACAGCAGTTTTGAGAAATCAACGATTTTCGGTTTTCTTACAATAGCTGTCGAGCACAGGCCATGACGTCCTCTCCAGGATGTGAGATCAACCGTTGATGTACTGTGCAAAATAGTTTATATATTTAATAAGAAAAACGAAAAAAGCTGATTTCTCAAAACTGCAGTGAATAAGAAAAAGGCGTTTAGTCGGAGTACTACAGTACTGCTTAAAAGTGGTGTGGAATTTAATGTTTGTGCTCATCTTTTCCCCCCTCCCCCCCTCTCAGTCGGCGACCGAGGACTCTGAGAAGTCTCCCTCCCCGCCCGGCATGACTGTGACCACGGCCATGATGGGGAACAACACCGGCGTGCCCCTGCCTGTCTCCTCCGGCCTGCCCCTGCCTGTCTCCTCCGGCCTGCACCCCATGGGTATGGGACCTGCTTCAGGTACGTCCCAACGTTGTGGGAAACTACAAACAGTTAGGCCCCATTTACACGTACAGTTCGTCGATCGACAAACTGTAGGATATCGAAAGGATGGTCGGCATCCTGTCAACTTCCCGGTAAAACCTGTCCTTGTGGTTTTGTGCAACCCGCATTATTTAGGAAAAGTTGATCATTTTTGGCATAATTTCTTATTATTTTCCTTTATCATTCTTTGTTAAAATTAACAGAATTGCATATTTTTATATTTTTGGGCTCAGTTTGCATAATTTGAGAATTTTTCTCGCATAAAACGACGGGGACAGAACTTCAAACATTTAGGCCCCATTTACTCGTACAGTTCATTGATGGACAAACTGTAGGATATCGAAAGGATGTCAGGCTTCCTGTCAACGTCCCGCTAAAACTGAGCGTGGAAACGAGCCATCCTCTCGATATCGAAGGGTTTTCAGTCCAACTACCAGATATTTCCGGCCGGTGAACTGAAGGGGTGACGACGAGGGAGCGGCTTCTTTGATGTTGCCCCAGGCGGAGTTGAAAATGCATTCCAAAATTGTCCTAGATATAGGACAAATAAAAGAAGAAAAAATTCGTGATCACCGCCCAAAATTAGTCGAAATCATGCGGGAAACACAATTTAATGCCGGATTACCATGTTAATTTTTTTGGTGTGTTTTGTGTATTTTGTTAAGACTAACCCTTTAACGATTAAAAAAAAACTGTACGTCTAAACGGAACTTCTCTCGTCGACAATCTGTCAGTTTACCGATGACCCAGATCGTACTGTACGTCTAAATGGGGCTTAAATGGAACTTCTCTCGTCGACAATCTGTCAGTTTACCGATGACCCAGATCGTACTGTACGTCTAAATGGGGCTTAAATGGAACTTCTCTCGTCGACAATCTGTCAGTTTACCGATGACCCAGATC